CATCCCACTGGAAGTGAAGTCACTCTGAGGTTAATCCTCCAAGGCCATGGTGTCCCTGTTGACGTGTCTGGGCAGTCTGTGCATGGATGATGGCCATCGCTCATCCCTTAGCTTTTTCAATGGCATCACGTTGGCTATTATCACCCAGCTGCTCCATCACTTCCCTTCCTGACATTCTGCTCTTTCGCAGCAAGGTCCACACCTGGCATCCATCCTTTGGGGTGTTTTTGTGTCCTCGGGTCAGGAAAGCAGCAAGCTTGTGCACTGTCAGAAGTGAGAGAGAGAAGAGAGCTGCCCAAACCCTAGAGTCTCCTCCACAGGACTGTCTCCTTTAGTAGTCCTTGGTGCTGGCTGCTACATTGTGCCATGTACAATGATTTGGGTTGTGGGGCAGTGTGCTCAGAGCAGAGGCAGCAGATGCATGTGAAGCTCGAGAGAAGAGCAGTTTCCCTAGATTCTCTCATTAGAAAGGGCAAAGCATAAATTGCAATTGCATAAATATTGAACTGAAGCATCGGTTGGTGGAAGGACTGAGAAGGACACTAACATTAGCTACTACAACTTTCCATATTATCTTCCCCTAAAACTCTTGATTTGTCAGGACTCACTGTTGCTCCCTGACTTCCAGATGTGTAGCTTCTGATCAGCCTAGACGCAGTGTGGCTATGGATGGCAATTTTGTCCATGCTGTGGGTTGGGATTTTCCCACAAAGGTTTCTTCAGGTGGCTTTGGAGGCACAACTTGGGTGCACCTGGAGCTAAGGAGAGTTGGTGAGGCTTGGATATTCTTCAAGATGGGGGCAGGCAGCAGTATAGGAGAGAATCTGCCCAAATTGCAAACAGACAGTGGCATGAAAAAGGTGCGCAGACAAAGACTAACTCTTGACACAATGCATGTCACCAATGAAGTCTTCATGAACGGCACGTCAACATGCACTAGGTGCTAGCATGGGGTGACACAACTTCACTGGTGGAGAAAGCAGGGGTGCATCACTGAGCAATATACTCACAAGCTGCAGAGCTGGAAAGAAACAGAAATGGGCACAACTGCCAAGGGACAGTGTGGGATGGAGATTCTCTCGCCGCCTTCCCAGCAGTTCAGAGACAGCTTCAGCTTCATTTCTCAGCTGACCAGACACACGCTCTAAACAACATGCTACAGTCATACGTGGAGTTCAAGTGGCTCAGGGTGGCTGCATTCCCACTGTCCCATTCCTTTCGGAAAGACTTGCCTTCGCCCTTCCTCGCGGCCATCCGAAAGTGGTGAGAAATCTGCTAGCAAGTGTGGGGCCATATATTAAATCTAAGTCTTCTTTCCTCTGCTTGGACAGTACCAGACACCTCATGTAACTCTCATAATATTTACAAACTGATAGAAGAAATACTTTTTTTTTTCTCTTTTTGTTTGTTTGTTTTTATAACACTAAATGTTAAACCTCCATGGGTCAAACACAATTGCACCAACAAGCTCAAGGAACCGGTGTCCTGTTCCAAGTCCCCTCTCCCACACTCCCCTGCCAGCTTTGAGTCAGCAGGAAGCAGGAGTGCAGCTTTTCTGGAAGGCCTGGGGAGAACAGGACCACAAACATGGAATAAAGGCAAGGAGGAGCAACAGCTTCAGAGAAAAAGGCCCAAGACATGAGAAATATTCTTGCAACATCTTCATCAAAGGGTGGCAGGGGAGAAAGAGAATGGTGAGAAATGATTGACCTTGCCCATTTTTCCCGTGATCACTTGAACTCTCATCTTGACAGATGCTTCAAGCGAATCCTGTTTGAGTTCAGGAGGAATGGGGAGTGTTTGCAGCATCCTGTGATGCACACAGTAGCTCACAGGATTAGCTTCTGAGAGCAAATCAAGCTCCATCCTACCCACAGCTCCCTCAACCCTGCTAGGAACAGGCATTTCCAGGAGGCGGGCTCCAGCACTGCTACAGATATCAGTCATACTTTGTATTTGTGGCTTTCCTCAGGCAGGTCTGCCAGTAGCTGTCTTCATTTCACAGACATGCGACCAAGGCACGCATCTGTCCAGGTGCTGCAGGCATGACTAGAACTGAGTGTCAGGATGTAGTCGTTTGCTCTAGCTACTAGATAAATGGCTTCAGAAACACAGGTTTTTAGTAATATCTTTTCTTCAGAACAAATGCCTGTACTTTCTTTTTCCCCCCAAAACACCCAAACCAGAAGAGATGCAGCACAAGGAGCTGTCGAGAGGTCAGCACTTGTGACCAACACACCAGTTGTGCTTGGATGCATGTGAGCCAGATGCCTAAAAACAACCCTACAGGAATAAAATTGCCTCTGAAGGAGAGCATGCATGATAGACCTTACAACAAACAGCAGCTTGACACTGGTCCCAGGTTAAAGAAAACAGGGCCCTAGTCCAGGGGCAGCCCTGTGATAGTAAGTCACCACAAGCTGCCCACCTCTTGCAATAGCTTGAAACAACAAATCCAGGTTCAGAGATAGCCCAAAGGGTGAGGAGCCCTATTGCAGCAGTGGGTCTGGAGTCATTTCTAAGACACCAAAGTACACAGCCTCCTGAAAGGTAGGGATGAGGACCTGGGTGCCTGCATGCTGTGAAGGATGCAGGGCATTTTCTCTCCTGAGTCGCAGCACACCAGTCTGCTAAGGCGCAGTCCCAAGTCCCATCAATTCCTGCCTTGGCCAAGAAGAGCCACCTCGCAGCTTGGGCTCCTTTGGTGGATTTCAAACACTCTCACACTGCCCAGCTCTCGCCTCTGGCACAAACACTCCTAGGTACAACTTCAGGACCAAGTGGGGAGRGAGCACAACCTCCAACAACCAAATCACAGCAGGGAAACTACAGTCAAGCCTGCTGTCACCCAGACCTCAGCCCCTCCTGCCTATCTCCCTTTAATATTGCCTTGCTCCTTCTGGCTGCTGGCTGAGTTGCTGCTGCTGCCCAGAAGAGCAGAGCCCAGCAGCGAGTGCAAGGTGCAAGCGCCCTGCTGAGGGTGCACCCAAGCACAGGGACATCTGAGCAGCTCAAGCCTGGCTGCCAAGCACATCCCCCCGTAACGATTTATAGGGCAAAGCCACAGGGAGCTCCTTAAAAACTTGGTGGTGTTTAAGCACTTGATGGATACTCGCTGGCATTTTTATTGCCCCTGTGTCTGGTGGGCTGGTCTCACCACTCTATCCCTCTGCCGTGGGGAGGGTGACCACCAGCAGCCTCTCCGCTAAGAGCAGCACTCTGCAGACCGGACCAGAGGAGGGCAAGGGCAAGCATCACCTGCTTCCTCATTGCACCACTTTAAGCTCCTTCTTCATAAGCTTGGGATTTTGGACCTGGGATTTTGTTTTATCTTCACAGGTCCTGGACAGTTTCTGACTCAATTTGGTTAAAACACGTAATTTTCAACATGAGCAAAGGTGTAGTAGCAGTAGCAAGCACTCACATACACTCATGTGCACACCCACCTCTCTCACCTTTACTTTTCCCTCTGTAGGAGAAAAATGCCAACAGAAAAGGGTATTTGCTCCAATTCTATATCAACACCAATTGGTTAGGGATGATCACATCTCGCACAGAGGTGATTTTCACATAGAGGCCTTGTTCCTAGCACACTGTACCTCAGCAATGCCCAAGCTCTCATCACTCACATCCCTGCTGCCCAGCCTGCCCTCTGGACACCATGGTCCCGCGGGTCTTGCCGACTTTCTTTTCCTTGTCTGGACAAGTGCACACATCCACATGCACAAGTGCAAGCATTGGTGTACGCAGGCAGGAGCTGCTGTGCTGATAGTTGGAGGTTGAGTGCCAGGCAGGTGCTGGTGGGACAGGAAAAAAAAAGATTAAAAAGAGGATGCAGACTGACTCTTGCAAGCAAGAGGGCCAGGACTCGAAAAGCCAGCAAGGAGGCTGGAGAGGGCACCCCAGGGGAGCCTGTGCTGCAACTGCCCTGCTCTCCTCACCCCTCTTCTCTGCCCCAGTGATCTCTCAGCATCGCGTCTCACACTTATAAGGCAGGACATAATCTACAGCAGGATGAGCATATGTACACATGGACTGTTCCTTTTGCATGCTTAGAGAGAGCAAGTGTGAGGGGGAGAAAAAGAGAAAAAGAGAGAGAGAGAGAGAGAGAGAGAGAGGACAGACACATATGCACCTGCACGCATGCACACACGTGCACATACACTGGGGAAAGAGAAGGACACCTGGGCAGATTGAGGGGCAGAGAACTAAGAAAAAATAAATTAAAAAATAGTTTTTTAGTAGAGCCGACACAGCTTTAGTTCAGGCCAGAGAGCATGACGCTGCACGGAGGAGGGTACGGAAAGATGGGTTTTAGCAAGGGCCTACTACACAGGATGAACTGAAGAGAGGAAACGGTTCTTCACAGGACACCAGTGCATAGAGWGGTTCAGATAACTTGCTCTGGGCTTGCGGGGATTTTTTTTTTCCTTTTGTTTTTTCTGCAAAAGTATGAACTGGCTGAGCATCAGCTCACAAAAGTGACCAAATGACCAAAAAGTGGCTACAGTCACCGAAGCAAAGACTGCTTTCAGCAAAGGAAGGGAGTAGGGTGAAGGCAGGAGTAGGGAAAAGAGGAAGGCGGAGAGAAAAGAAAAGGGATCTCCTGTTCGATGGGCTTTGTGGGCTCTGCTGGTCCGTGTACATCGCAGCATCCTCTGGCAACACAACCCTTGCTGCCCCTTTCTCTGCCTCGCTTCGTGTTGCCTCCTCGATGGTCGGTGCCGCGGGAGCCGGCTTGTTGCAATTCAGAATAAATGGTGCTGAGTCGTCCTCTTGGTTGGATTTTTTTTCTCTCTCCTCCGTCTTCACTCCCAAACGCACAAATGTCGTGAAAGAAACAGTCCTCTCTCTCTCTCTCTCTCTCTCCTTCTTTCTCTCTCCCTTTTCTTCGCTCTGTCTCCTGTAAAACGCGTTTTGTGTGTTGTTGGTTGTCGTGTTGTTTTTGTGGTTTTTTTTTGTTTTTTTTTATTATTATTATTATTATTATTATTTTAAACTCTGATCTGTATTAACATTTGCTGAGAAGGCAGAGCAGGGACGCTGCCAGCAGCCACAGTGGGACGGCCAAGCTCATGGAGCCGCTGTCTACTCTCCCCGTGCCGGGTCCTGCAGGGTAAGAGAAGGAAGAGAAAAGAGCACGAGGTTACGTGGCAGGCAGGGAGAGAGCAGCTTACATGGGAACACAGACCAACACTCAGAAGGCAAGGCTGGCTCTGGGGCTGCGCAGTGGGAAGGACATCCAAGCCACTTGCATGAAGCTCGGTCTGGTGCAAGTGGAAGCTCCCAGAGCTTCTCCTCWCCAGCTCACACCAGCCTCCCCTCCTGCGCATGGCTCCGGCTTTGGGCAGCTTTCCCAAAGTGTGTCCAATTCAGAGAACCTGGAGGCCACCGTGCCCAGCCGCTAGGCCAACACGGCTGCTCCGTGGCTGCCCCAGCCCATCCCCGTGCCGCTCGGCCTCCTCAGGTAGCCCCTCCGTGCAGGGCTCCTTATAATTCTGTGCACTGGCACGCGCCGGCTCACAGCCAGACACCAGCTCCTCGGGGGACGATCCATCACGGGGGGCCGATCAATAAAACATGGGACGCCTCCCCTCCGCAAGGATCTGGTTCCTCCCCGGGACGGAGGGTGCTTTGGCCGAGGCGTTTCCCGTGGCACGGCACCCCCGGGCTGTTCCGGGGGCTGTGCTCCCTCGCTGGGGTGGGAAGCATGCCGGGATGCTCGGCTGGGAGGCGGGGAGAGAGCGCTCTGCCGCAGCAACAAATAACGCAGGCTCGCTCCAGGAATATTAAGTGCCAGCGCTCCTGACATCCTCTCATTCATCCGCTCATTTATGGGCTTTTCTTCTCAGGAAGGCTTTTAAGGCAGGGATGCTGCTTTAAATTCACCATGCAATACCAAGCCTTGGCCGCCTTTTCCTTTCCTCCTTTTCTTTTCTTTCTTTTCTAAACAGGGCAGGCATGCATACGTGGCTGTCATTTCATAAATGCATGCTCACCACGTATACATTTATATAAACAMACATTCCTATATGTACGCACACACATATGTACATGCCGTGTTTTACACAGAAGGGGTGTGGGAAGRCACTGAAATGTGGGCACGGGCGTAACGCCATCCATCGTGACCCGCTCTGCTGTGCAGGAAGACGCGCCAATTAGGCAGACAGAGCTATTTCTAACGGAGGGGAGGGAAGAAACAGCTCTTTTCCGGACAGCCCAGTGGGACGGAGGTGCAATCGCTCTATCTCCCAGCCTTGGGCAGACAAAGAGCCCGTGGCTGCTGGGCGGAGCACGGGCCCCGCAGCCCTGCTCAGCATCGCGGTCACTATTAAATCCTAGCTGGGCACCGGAAGGAAGGAAATCCAAGGAAGATGTCCATGGAGTCTCCAAAATTCTGCAGCACTTTCAACAGCGTGATTTTCTCCTAATGTAGCCCTCTGCTTGCTGCATCTGCTGTTTGTACCCTGACTCTTATTATTTATTACAGCAGTATTTGCTGAATTACACAGATTATATTCAATTTTGGCTCCTTTATTTCAATTAGTCTTTACATATAAAAGAATGGATTTTACTTTTGTTTTGGGCAACAGGCACTTTCTCCCTCCTCTTCTCTGAATTCAGGAACACTCAAGTTCAGTAAAGGCACCTACCAGGACCTATTTATCAGAGACAGCATCTGTCACAGTTAATTAATTGGGGAGGGGAGGCTCTTGGAGACCATTTGTATCCCAAGTCAGCAGTTGGGAGGTCCCCAAGAGGTCTCCCTGGACCCGCAAATCATGTGTGCTGCCCACACAGTTTTCATGCATCACAGTATCACTATTTGGCTAAAACACTATTTGCCTAAGACACACTCAGATGCAGCTGGGAGAGCTACAGGGATGGACCTGCATTCTTGTCAGTGAAGGTGCACGGGGCCACCAGCCCTCCCATTGACACATGTGGGACGCACACATGATCCTAGCTAAGAGATGTGCATTTGGAGGCACATAATACCCACCCAGCACTGCCTGTATGCTTGGTCTTGCTTGGGGACCACTGCCTTTTAATGCACACGTGGGCACAACTCGGGGCTAGATATGAGGGACGGGGTGGTGTACCATGGCGGGGTGCTGAGGTAGACAYAGCCCTGGAAGCTGGAGGGGATCTCCACACTCTCTAGGAGAGCTAGAGGAATTTACGCTGAGGTGGATTTTAAAGATGCAGGGAGACATCAGACACCAACTGAAACACATCTAGAAAGTGTTGAACATTCATGCTGTGGGGGACGTATTACTCAGAGCATGAATTTTACTCTCTTTGAACATTTTAACCTATTTTTTTGAGTTTTGAGTGACATTTTCAGCAAGAAGCAGAATCTAATTTCAAATCACTCTAGCTATTGTATTCAGTCCCTGTGCATAGAGCCTCACTCTGGCCATGGGGAGCGTGTGTGTGTGTGTGTGTGTGTGTGTGTGTGTGTGTGTGTCTGTCTGCACAAGCGGGCGCTGAGGCACCTCTCTGGGTGAATGGCCATGGCCACAGTGTGCACATTCTGAAACAAGCGACCCACAGCACCACCAAACACACACATCCATGCGCAGACAGTGCAACTACACATGTCTGCAACTACACACCTAGCATGCACACATGCGTGCACATGCATGCACGCATACATGTGCATGCACATGAATGCACGATTCCCGCTACTCATACTCATTGATCTAGCCACAGAGAGATGCAAGGGTGTATTCCCTCCTTGAAACATGCACACACACAAATGCTGTGTATATGCAGCGGCATATACAAGTGCACAAATATGAAGAGCGTCCATGCACATGGCCACGCTTACATGTACATGTGGGCACATACATATAGCCCCACGCACATGAGCACGCTCACACACACACACACAGTCCATGCTCATGGGAATACTCCCATGCACTTACCCATGTGCACACACGCATGCACACAGCCCCACACACAGGGGCACGCTCACGCACATACATACGTAGAACCCCACGGACATGGTCACGTGCACACACACAGATCCCCATGCACAGGGGCTTGCTCACACGCACATGCCCAAGCGCACACACACATGAAACACACACAATGTCCACACACAGAGCCCCACGCACACGCATCCTGCGGTCTCTGTCGCCCCCTGGCGGCCGCCCGAGCGCGCTCCGTGGGCTGCAGCCCCACGGGAGCCTCCCGCGTGTCCACGTGCACGGGACTGCCGGGGAGGGGGGGGGAGACCTGGCTGGAGTCTAGTGCTGCTGTAAGGGGTACCCCGCTCCTGCAAATGCAGTTCTGTCGGGCCCCCGCCGCCTGAACGCACGCGGTGCGTTTGATGGAGAACCTCTAGGAGGTCCACGCGTGGCTGCACGGCCCCGGGTGTGCACCCCTGACGCAGCAGAGGTTCAAGCTCAGGCTGCTCTATGTGGCGTCTGGGTCAGCAACCCCTCAGCGCAGTTTGCACTCCCCCGTGCCCCAAAACAAGGAGTTATCTCTTTTAAAAAACACATGGGTGAGGGGGGTGACCAACTGCTGTCACTTTCTCTGCAGTCTCCCAGCACAGCAACCTTGAGCCTGAGCCATGGGAGCTTTCTCTGCGAGCTGATCTCCTAGGCTAATCATTCCCCCGTGCTTTGGCAGCGCTGGTGAGGTCAGCACCATGTGATAATTTTGAGGCGGGGTACAGGGGGCTGTTCTTTACTTGTCGTGAGGCAAAGAAATTGGGTTCCTCATGATGAGTTCATATGAACGCCTGGCAGCTTTTCACAAATAAACCCTGAAGGAACTCCACGCCCCAAAAAGCTGAAAAGGTCGGATCCCATTAATTGAGCCAGGAAGGTCTACAATGACAACARGCAGAGGTAAAGTGATTGTGTCCCTCTCTATGAACCCAAACAGTGAGGCACCTGGTGCAGCTACAGTTGGAGTGCCGCCAAGCTGACCAGCTGTGCTACAGCGGCCCCCTAGGGCACCATGCAGCACGTTTCTGGGTGGTTTGCAGTGGTGTCAGGGCATGAGGTGGCCTTGGCCAAGATTTAGAGCAGTAGATTAGTGCTGAAAGGAACCGTGAGGTTCCCCTAACCCAACTCCTCTTCCTAAGGCAACCTGAAAGGCAACCACAGCATCAACACAGCAGCACTGAAAACACATGCAAGGGCTCAGGTGGAGCTGCTCCGGAGGGCTTCTCCCTGTATTTGTGGGAGAACAGYCCCAGTCTCTGAGGCAACAAACGTCCATGATCTCACCTAGTGTCTCACCCTCCTGCACACAAAACCTTCCACATGTCTGAAGACCAGCTGCAAGCACTCGTGTCAAGCCTGCTGCTTAGGATGAGTTTTATCAGCCTGGCATATAAGCRGGGCTGCTGGCACCAGTTATTGCTAAGGTTCTCTGACCTTTCCCATTATAAGGCCCTGTTTGCTTATCACTTTACAAACACTGATAGTGCAGGTGAAATATTCACCTGATGCGTGCTTGCGCCTCAGGCTAGTTTTAAGCTGAGAAAAATCAGCCAAAATAGTTCTGCTGTTTCTGAGAAACAGGTTTGAGGATGAAGAAGGTTTATTATTATTACTATTATTATTTATATTATTAATATTAATAATCTATTAATATTAATATTTAATAATACATTATGCATTTAATATTATTTTATCTGTTATACAATATATATTAAAAATATATATTATTTATTATATTTAATAATAAATGAAATATACAATGAATGATGTAATATAATAATAATGTAAAGAAATGAAGCTGATGATGCTTCCTGAGAACACATTTCTGGCCCAGAGCTTTRCAGTGAAACAGGGGTCTTGTCTTTTCAGGACTGCTCTGTCTCCTGTGAATGGTGTAGGAAAGGCCAGGGGAAGAAGATGGATGCTGGSACATGGGTGAGGTGGCGGTGGTGAAGCAGGTTGCTCCTCACTTTCAGAGAAAAAAATGAACCAACAAAACAAAACAATCCCTACCCATAAAGAACCCCAAATCCACACAACAACAAGATAATGAAGCTGAGAGATGGTCTGTTCCTCAAAACCCAGCCTGTCTGAGGACCAACAGACCACAGGAAAGCACTTCTACTGGAGCAGACCACAAGTCTT